GTAGTGCCTAAGGCATTTGACTGATAACCAGAAGGTTGGCAGTTCAAATCCACCAGCCACTCCCTGGAAGGAAAACTGGGAGGAGACCTTTTTATGGTTGGGGATTGTAATCTGCCATGAAACCAAATGTGCATGAACTTTTGAGAGTAAAAAGAATCTGCTTCCTAAATGTGCACTCAAATCACAATAAAAAATTGAAAGGGAAAAAAACAAAAACAAAGCAACCACAAAACAAAACAAAAACGGTTGCAGCAGTATCTGGACAGGGAACTTCCAGAAATGCAAACCAGATTCAGAAGAGGAATGTGGAATGAGGTATATCATTGCTGATGTCAGATGGATGTTGATTGAAAACAGAGAATATCAGAAATATATTTGCCTGTGTTTTACTGACTATACAAAGACATTCTACTGTATGGAATGAGCCACTCAAGGTGGCAGCGCAGCTTCCTGGAAGGCACCCCCACGGGGACTATGCAGTCAGGTGGAACTGGTTTTGAAAGTGGGCTGTGGGCCTTGGGAGTTGAGCTGAGCTGAGCATGCTGGGCTGAGTTGGGCCCCCTCTCCTTGCCTCAGCTGTCACACCTGGAGATGAGGGGTGTCTGAAAGATGTTGTGCTGAGAGACCTGAGATACACCAGGTAAACCATTTGGGTTCCAGAAGCACCCTCCCCTTTTCCTTCCTCTTAATGCCCCAGCCCCTCTGCTCCCTGGATCACTTAGGGATGATGTGGGGGCGACGTGGGGGCTGAGCTTTTGGTGATGCGCAGCGTCCATGTCACCGGCCAGGCGCAAGACGTGGGTACTATACCCTGCACCCACCTGCCCACCATTGCAGTGCTTGGTCGGACACAGGCAGAACCAGCCCTCTCAATGGCCCAGGTGAGTGAGCCGGCTGCTGCAAGTTACCTAGGCGCGAGCCTGACAAGTCCCGCAGGTCAGCGTGGTGGTGGGCCGTCAGTGGACCAGGCTAAGGGGTAAGGGATGGGGGCGGGCTCCCACAGCAGCAGGGGATAGGTGGGAAAAGGATGGAGAGCACCAAGGGTGGAAAGAGGAGGGGATCTGAAGCATCTGAAGGGGCGGGAAGTGGGGGATAGGGAGCATGGGAGAGAGAGGGAGCAGAGGGGATGGGGAGCACATGGGGGGTCGGAGGGCAGGCGTGTGGGCGGACCCCCGCACCACCTGGCCTGTCTTCTCGACCCCCCTCCTCTTCATCCTCCATCCTTCTTTTGAGCCACAAATGGGGGGAGTGCCCCTCGAAGTGGGACAGATCCTGGAAATGACCCCACCCCACTTTTTGCAGCTAGGAGGAAAGCTTGACCTCTGGGAATAGGGGGTGGGGTGGAGTAGGTTTCCTCCAGGGGAGGGAGCACCAAAATCCAGAATCTGGAAGACAACCTAGTCTGGTGCCTGAGGTCTGAAAACAAAGGCAGCTGGTGGATGGGGGCAGGAACTTTCGGTGTGAGGGCCTGGATTCAGGAAAGGACCCTAAGTCACTATGCCTTCACCAGTGCACTCTGTCTCCTGTCCATTTGCAGGTCTGTCCACCTGTCTGTTGCTCCCAGCACTCTGTGATGCTAGAAAGGAAGGAGAATCCAGTTCAGAATCCCTGAAGGTCTGTGAGAGGAGGGGCGCTGGACATGGACACAGGGCTAGGGGGAATATGGAGGGCAATGGCTGGGTAAATTTGGGAACTCCACAATTCTCCAACAAATATACACACAAAGCCATCCATGCTGGGAGTAGAGATGGTGACAGGGCCTGCCTGGGAACCCGTTGGCTCCTGTGTGGGAGGAATGGAGGGGTAAAGGGTGGGCAGAAGGCATAGTTGGAGGCCTGGCCAGGTTAGGGGAACCCTGTTGAGGGGTGAGATGCAAGTGCTATCCAGACCTGTGCACCACCACTCCTAAGTCCTCAGTCTCCCTTGTCTCCCCTACCCTCCAAGACAGAAAAATGAGGAGAATCTCAACATGGAAAAACTCTGCGGTGAAAATGAAAGAGAGCCTGAAAACCAAGGAAAGATGGACAATGAAGACGAGCCAGAGCCTAAGGGAGAGCCAGAAGTAGCTGCTCCTCTGGAAGACAAGGAAAAGTTAGGAAATGAGGGAAAGACAGAAAAGACAGGAAAGACAGATGAAGAAATGCTGAAAGATAAGGGAAAGCTGGAGAATGAGGGAAAGCCAGAAGAAGGAAAGCCAGCGAGTGAAACAAGGGCTGCAGGAAAGCGCCCAGCTCAGGATGATGTCCCCAGAAAAGCAAAAAGAAAAACCAACAAAGGATTGGCTGAGTATCTCAAGGAGTATAAGGAGGCCATACATGAAATGCATTTGAGCAATGAGGAGATGATAAGAGAGTTCGATGAGATGGCCAGGGTGCAGGATGAGGTGAAAAAATCCAAACAGAAATTGGGGGGTTTTATGTGGATGCAAAGAAGTTTACAGAATCCCTTCCACCCTAGGGGCCCAAGGGAACTTAGGGGTGGCTGTAGGGCCC